TAACTTGCCACATGATTAACGTCATTACATTATTATGAGTTTTGAATGCAAATCTCTGGTTTGTAAATTTGGGCCGGTTAGTGAGGGGAGTTGTGTGTACACTACCAACTTTTTTCACTGTTGTTGTCCTTTACAACCTGGAAGTCATCCAGACTCAGTTATACAATATAAAAATTAAATTAACCGCCCAAAATTCTGGGTTGGTATTTACACCTTGTTGATCTGTCAAAAGTAATTTTGACCTCAAGGTTGGCTGTCTTTTTGCGGTTAGTTCGTTCCTGTTTCATCTAACGCCATTTTCACGGCGACATCCATAAGGCTTTGATCGGTAACTTCATATTCACTATTTTGTAGAATTTTATTAATATTACTTATAATGCTACCTAAAGTTAAAATCAAAGTTTAATATCCATTAAATAGTTGGAGGTTATTTATGATTTTCTTGGTTCTTTCTCACTTATTAATATAAATAACATTGAATTTATTTTGGACCACATGGTCAATTGCTGTGCTAATTTTTGTACAAGTTCATATATGTTGTTAGTTGCTTAACTGTTTATACAAGATCAGCGTACTATGTCCATTTACTTAGTTTCATTCACATATTTGTTAATAACATTGACGGCTACATATCTTTTTAAGGTAACAATTAACATCGTTTCCATGATTGTGTGGTTCTCATATTGTAATAATTTTTTAGATGAACTGATGATGCTTTCAAAACTCGAAAGCGAAACGTCTTCAAAATAGATAAAGTAGCCTATCAACTTTGTCTTTTATTTCTCCACCTAGAGACCGATATAAGAACCCACCACTCGTCTGAGTGATCCTTATATATATATATAATATATATATATATATATATATATAATATATATATATATATATATTTTCTTACAATTATTAAATTATATTAACAAAATTTGGTACCTTTCTATCACTGAATGCCTAAAGTTTTCCAAAATCAAGTTATAATCACCACTAAATATCTTCTTAATCAGCCTCGGTTATCCTTGTATTTGTGAAATTGCATATAGATATTATAATTTAAAATTCTTGTAATTTCCATATAATATACTATACTCCTGTATTGAACTATCTATATTGAATTAATTTACTCTCATACTCTCCAACTGTATCTGACTTAATGAATTCTTCAAGTTAATCCTTTCTTCTAATTTAATTTAATTATAACTGTCTTGAACTAACTTTCTTGATAAATCTAATTTAATGACTTAATTGTACCTGACTGACTGACTTCACCTCACTTAATCCTTTTTTCTAACTTAATTTAACTTAATCACTTCATGAATTCTTCTAATTTAATTTAACTTAATCACATCATGAATTCTTCTAACTTAATCAATTGTAACTGACTGACTGACTTCATTAATGCCTTCTACTAACTTAATAATTGACTGTAACTGACTTAGTAACTGTAACTTAATGATTGACTGTAACTTAATTATTGACTGTAACTTAATTTCTGACTGACTTAATGTAACTTAATGCCTGCCTGCTCCAAATTACCAGGTATTTTTATTATTTTATCGTTCCAGACTTTTCTAGCAATCAACCATGTTCGAAACTTTTCATCTCATCAATATATGAAAGTTCTGGAATAATCGACTATGCAAATAGAGCTAACTGCCTTGTATATTGACGTTTTCCAGAAAATTCTAGTGAGAAGCTTATAGACATTTAGGCTTTTCAGATCAGAATTCACTATTATATATATAAACTAAATGTCTTAAACTAATATACTACTATTTTACATCCGTAATTATATTTAAATTAAAATCCCAAACTAATATTTAACCCCATTTTTCATCCGCAACCAAACAAATGTCAAATAACACAGTGTATATTTGGTTGCCTATGCCCATGGCTCACTTAAATATATTTATTTATAAAATAAAAAACTTTTTAAACTTAATCCTATGCTAAATTTTCAAAAATACCCTCATATAATTATTTTTTAATAATATTCGCTAGTATATAACTTATAAATTATTTCTTTAACCACTATTTAAGTAAGTTTATTAATTAAACATCATAATATTACTATGTTACTTTCTTGTATATCTATTAATATTCAATATATAATATATATATATATATATATATATATATATATATATATATATATATATATTATAGGCATTTATACGTTATTTTTATATTATACAGAAATATTTAATGTCATTTGTCAAAACAAAATTTTTTAACATATCAGCAATATCATCAACTTCTCTTTTAGACATAAAGTATGTTGTACTTTATTAAAGAATTTCGGCTCCAAACAATAACGATAAAGTTTCAACATATCAGATGGGCAGATATGTCAATGAGGCGGTAAAATAGAACAAAATAAAACAAAATCAAGTAATATTAAATAAAATAAATAGAGTGAAATAATATAATACACAATAGAATCAAATAAAGTAAAATTAATTTAAAATCAAATAAATTAGAATAAAGTAGAACATAAAATAAAATAAAATTAAAATAAAATATAGTAAAATAGGATATAATACAATAAAAAAAATACAAAGGAGTAAAATAGAATAAAATAAAATAAAAAGAGTTATAAACTCAAATATTAAATTTGACGAATATTAACAGATCCGCAGTATGCTAATTCAGTTGTTTGTTCTGTCATTTATTTTATTTTTTATTTTAATTTACTATCAAGACATAGTTTTTTTTATGTAGCTTAAGATATCTTTAATAGAAAATTTATGACCCACCATTAATATTTGGCAGTAAATAAATGTTATTCATTTTCTTTGTGACTTTATGAAAGATAAAAAAATTTACAAAGAAAACAACAGTTGAACACTGAAGCATCTGTCGATATAGTTCATACAATTTTTCTAGAATTTAAACAACAACAAAGAATTGTGTACGATACTTTGATAGAAGCTGTGAACGTTGGATCTGGTGGAATTTACTTCCTTGAGCTGAAAATGGATAGAAAAAACATGGCAAATTTTATTGTAATTGGCAAGGATCAGGTCGCAGTAGCCCTAGCCTGGGCTTCATAGGGCGAACGAATTGCAAATTCTACCATGAAATTACCATTAAACATATAAATTATTGAAACACCAGATTGCAACATCACCAAAAATAGAGCAATGGCGAAGATTTTACAGGTATACACATTAATGGATTGTGATGAATATACATTGGCTCACAAGCGTTCATTAGAGGGACTGGAAAGAACTTTGAAAGATATTCCTGAAAATCAAAAACATTTTGGTGGAGCCATGATTCAATATTTAGACTGTTTCTTATTTAATAATTGTTCTCCAATTAACTGCTGCGGACGAACTAAAGGCATGCTCAACATCATAGCAATTTGTGGCGGCATGTAAAGTGTTTGTGCAACAAGATCAAAGTGGCACTGTGTTTTCGAAGCAGTTATGAGATATTGGAAATAGTAAAGTCGCTATTGACATCTCGACCGGATTTAGTTCATTAGCCAGAGATTTCTGTTACTTAACAGACTCGAAATAGGATATATATATACAAAAACACCAGTTTATTAGGGCTGCAGTCAGAAGGTTGGTCGAGATGTTAGAGAAACACTCTTTTGACTTTTTGTCAAGCTTTCGGAATTATTTTATTCCTTCTTCAGGAATAAGGAATTCCTGAAACGAGAAATACGAGTGTTGACAACTGAATTGAGTTGGGCGGGCGGTGATGTGACTGGGAAAAATAATCTATCTTGATTGGTAAATGAAACACAAAAATATATATATATATAGATATATATATATATATATATATATAATTCTTTGGAGGGTAACTTTCGGGAAAGCGTCAAAACAAGGATCAGCTAGAGATGGTATAAGCCAGTTTGGTGTAGAACTTTATTCGAAATGTGAAATTTTCGGTGATATGTTGTCACCTTCATCAGCACCTAAATGGAAAACCTATTTTAGTACAAGTGGTGGAAATCAACATTTAAAACCTACATTGAAAATGTTCAGTTAGTCCTAGTGGTGAAGAACACTGTCACAAACATGTTAAAAATATTAAAAAATACATTTAAAATTTTGAATAAAAACATTACAACACAACAGGGTATTATTTAAAATACAAACACAACAAAAAGTCTAAAAATTACAACCTACAAAAACTGCAACTTCATGTTAAAGGTAGAAAAGAAGAATTATTCTTCTTTTTTGATGACATATTTCTGATTTCTGTCAATATCCGAGTGTCATATGTAACGAGGTTATAATATATATATATATATATATATAATATATATATATATATATATATATATATATATATATATATATTATAACCTATATATATATATATATATATATATATATTAATATTATATATCAAAAACTATGTCTTATGTATTTATAATTTAAAAATACACTTGTATTTCCTAGATTATCTTGCGTAAAACCACTCACACAATATTCCATATAATTATCACGGGAAACAAATGAAATCTTAAACGTTTACATTGTTTGCCCCCTTATTTGTTTAATAAAACTCGGCTTCGCTTATTGTCTTTCAGATCTAAGTCCATTTTTTATAGTTTAGTATTACTACATATACCGACTGTAAAAAAATAATTTAGGTAGTAGTTTTGATCGACTTAACAGTTGGTATCAATATTAGCTTTTTTCCATCTACTTTTACGATATTTTAGTGGTTATTTTGATATTTGGAGCTGAGCAGAGTTTTACTTAGATGTCATTGCAGGAGTGAGTAAACACATCGAAAATTAAAATTTCTTATGTCCATCGCTATCAATAAAGCAGCTATTTTTGTTTATCAGTACGGATTTCTATAACCACCAAAACGCAGTATGATCACTAAAATTATTGTAATGTTAGCCTCACTACAATAGATCAATAAAAACTTTTTATTTCCCGGGTATTTTAATAATTTAATACTTCAATAGATATACTGTTTTTTAAATACAATTTACTGATCTAAAACTACTTTTCGAAGAATTGTTTTGTAAAAGTATTCTGAAAATTAAAGCTAAAACTGAATGACATTCTTATTTTAAAGAATCAATCCCGGGTACTTATTCAAGAAGTGATTTGCATGACAATTTGAGAAAATAACTTGATAAAATTTTACATTTAGATGATTTTTATCCACTGTGAGTTCTTAAATATCTTTCCAAATTACCTTTCTAAAAAAACTGCTTAAAACAAATATCACACTTAAATATTATCAAAATTTCTTGAAAAAGAAAAAAAAAGTTCGCATTCAAATTTTAGTTCCATGAAATCGTATGTAGAAGGCACGTATGCAGGATGTAGAGCTAGTCTAACCTCCGCTGGCATTCTACTCTCTAATGTCTATTCGTTTATTTTAAATTGTGATTATACTACCCGAGAGTGAAACGACCCAGTTATCGCGAGTACAAATGATGGGTGGCACCGCAGAAAGTAAGTTTATCATAGTTGTAAACCTCTGAATAAAATTTACTAGTTTTGATGTGACTACATGTTTCTCATCTGGAAACATCAGAAGAGAAAGACGTACCAGGAGTGAAAGATCTGCTCTTTGAGTTATCTTTAAATGAAAAACATGAATTAGTTATTTGATAATACCACATATCCAAATTTATTAATACTGATTACTATACGCATTAATACGCAGTATTATCACTAAAAATTGCATTAGAAGTTTTAAGATGACACTTGAGGTTTGTCCCGAGTGTGCAATCTAAAATGGGCATGGAGATTACTTTTCTGAGAAAATTGCTTAAAGCAAATTTCGCACTTATAAGGTTTTTCTCCAGTGTGAACTGTTTTGTGTTTATCCAAAGAAGTTATATGGGTAAATAGCTTAAAACAAATTTAACACTTGTAAGGTTTTTCTCCAGTGTGTATGATTAAATGTCTTTTTAAATGCATTTGCTGAGAAAACTGCTGAAAACAAATTTCGCACTTGTAAGGTTTTTCCCCAGTATGTAATCTCAAATGTACTTTCAAATTATTTTTCTGAGACAACTGCTTAAAACAAATTTTGCACTTGTATAGATTTTTCTCAGTGTGCAATCTCAAATGTAGTTTCAAACTACTTTTATAAGAAAACTGCTTAAAACAAATTTCGCACTTGTATGGTTTTTCTTCAGTGTGAACTATTTTGTGTTCATCCAGGGAACGTTTTCTTGAAAACTGGTTAAAACAAATTTCGCACTTGTAAGGTTTTTCTCCAGTGTGAATTGTTCTGTGTACATCCAAAGAAGTTTTATAAGTGAACAGCTTAAAACAAATTTCACACTTGTGAGGTTTTTCTCCAGTGTGTAATCTCAAATGTACTTTCAAAGCACTTTTATGAGAAAACTGCTTAAAACAAATTTCGCACTTGTGTGGTTTTTCTTTAGTGTGTATGATTAAATGTATTTTTAAATTCTGTTGATAAAAAAACTGTTTAAAACAAATTTCGCACTTGTATGGTTTTTCTCCAGTGTGAACTATTTTGTGTCCATCCAAAGAAGTTTTACGAATAAACAGCTTAAAACAAATTTCACACTTGAATGGTTTTTCACCAGTATGTAATCTCAAATGTACTTTCAAATTATTTTTCTGAGAAAACTGCTTAAAACAAATTTTGCACTTGTATAGATTTTCTCCAGTGTGCAAGTTCAAATGTAATTTCAAACTACCTTTATAAGAAAACTGCTTAAAACAAATTTCGCACTTGTATGGTTTTTCTTCAGTATGAACTATTTTGTGTTCATCCAGAGAACGTTTTCTTGAAAACTGCTTAAAACAAATTTCGCACTTGTAAGGTTTTTCTCCAGTGTGCAATCTCAAATGTAGTTTCAAACTATCTTTACGAGAAAACTGCTTAAAACAAATTTCACATTTTAATGTTTTTTCTTCAACAGGCCGATCCATACGTTGTTCTTTATTACATGAACGCACCGATATCGTTTTCATGGTTTCTGATGTGTGCTTTTCTTCGAGGAAGGCTGAAATAAAAACAAAAGTGTATGTTTTTTTTTATTTCAAGGAAAAATTTAATGCAATATTTAATCCCATTATATAAACTGACCCGCATAAGTAACCGGACATCAAGTTTATCTTAAGTAAAATAAAAAAAATTAGAAAAATTTCAATTTTAATAAATTATTTTTGTTTCAAATTCCAAAACAATGACTAGTGTAACCACAAATAAAAATTTACAATTTTTTTTATTCCTGAGTAATATATTTTTCAAATTAAAAATATTTTTAAAATTAGGATACTGTTGGGAAAAGTTCCCAACACCTTGAATTTAAATTATATAAGAAATTAAAATTTTGAACCTCTAGCGCCATTTTCGTGCGTTCCCAATGTCACATTTTTTATGACATAAGTTCCAATCTGTTACACTTAGAAAGCCTTCTCGTCATGAGAGGGCGTTGAATGCCTTTAGGTCGCACATGTTAATTAATAAAATAATATAATATGTAATATCAAATAAAAAACACATACATGCAGGAAATCACTCTCAGATAATTGTAAACTTATATATTCACTTTAAAATAAATTTATTGTGAAAGGGGACTTATCCACCTAGTGGCAGTGTTCAAAAACTGCAAGATGACAACCAGCAAGAAGAGAGAAGTTGGCGTGTGTCTTCGCCATTAGCTATTTTTATTTAAGTTTTTGACAATTATATTATAAAACGATCTTAAGAACGTGAACTTGATGGAGTCATAGGTGCAACGAAAGGAAAGTGTAGTGATAAAAGTGTTCCTGCTACCAGTTACCGTCAGAAGCATCTTCTGAAGGGTCTCAAGTACTGTGCAACTTTATTGTAAGGTAATGTTCTCTATTATTGAAGTCCTCCATGGCCAGAGACACAATTTAAAACGGAATTTGTGTACACACACTCTATTCGCGAATGAAACCATATCTCGTGTGCTTAATATAAGTTAATGTTAAAATTTAGAAGGCCGAATAAGTATGTGCACATTTCTCTGATAAATATGAATTCATATCCATTTGTATTGTAACCCTTTTTTTTTGTTGGTAAGATGTTTAATGATTTAAAGACAAAAGGAAGGTAGTATATAAAAATTACGAGAGAGTAAAACTTTAACATACATTCTTGTTATTTGTTAGTTTTCAATACACTTATAGCACTGTTTATTTATTTTATTTCACTTATACCTAATAAAGTCAATTTTGGAGATTCTGAACCAGCCCCTAACTGGAAATACAATATTAACTCTAGGAGTTTTTATATAGTCGGAGACACGTTTGTCGGTCCTCCACGCTCGAGTGGTTGCAAGGCAGACCAAAGTAGTTTGCTGAGCGACCAGATACTAAAATCGAGTATTTGCTCCACGAACTCGAATAATCGCTCTTATCATTTCTGGCATAGACTGGATCAAATCAGAAAACTTGTTTTGTAGTAGTTGTTCCCACTCGTTTATTTAGTGCCTGTTCTAAAGCTGTCACGGTTTCAAATGCGCCATAATTTTGACAAACTACCCTTTTTAAGTTGTTCCACAAATGCTCTATCGGGTTAAGGTCTGGACTTCTACGTGGCCAGGATAGTAACTGAATACCATCATCTGTAAAGTATTGCATTATTATCGTCGCTATGTGCGGCCTACATTATCCTACATTGGGAAAAATGTTTACCTACAAAATACATATAAGGTAACACATATTCTAGACATTCCCCAGGACGCCTTTATTTAAATTAACTACAGGTCAGAGAACTTTTATTTAAAGATACCTTATTTTGACGTAACCAGTCAAATTACGTGTACAAGGGAAAATACGTGTAAATTTGTTGTATAATCTGTTTTATTTAATGAATATTATCCAGATTGAGCCATACGGCTCACGCTCCCTCTAAGGGGAAAATTAACTTATCCCAGATACCTATGGTATACTCCATTCGCTTAGCTCGGGCATATTTTGACATATTCATTGTCGGAAACACAACAATTCCTACATCTCAGTATTACTAGCTCAAGTTTACTACTATTGGAGACTTCTTTCTTTGAAAAAAGAAGAATTAGAGCAGTAACAGATGACAAGCGGTCGACGCGCCTTCAGAAACAGCGCGGTTGTAACTTACTAAGAAATGAAGCTGCTTATTTACATGAAAACGCGCCTTCCGAAAAACGCGCAGTCGCCGCTGAGCAACCGCTCGGGACTTTGTGTCCGCGCCTCCAACACAAAACGCGCGGTTGACAAAGTACATTGGAACACATCGGCCTATGCAGTTGGAAGGCGCAGTTTGTGCAGTGTGGTGTATTATCAGTTATAATTTAATAATCTAAAAATATCAAAAATATGGGCGAAGAATTTAATACAGATAAATTCATTGATGAAATTCAAAAAAGACCAGCCATTTGGGACATGAGTAATAGCGAATATAGCAATAAAATTATTAAAAAAAAAAACGCTTGGGAGGAGATAGTGTTAATTTTTTGCCACAACAAAGATACCGATGAAAAGAAAAAATATTCGGTAAGAACTTTTTTATTATTGTTTTTTTACAATTCAAATCATGCTATTTTGCCAGTCCACTTTGCCTTCATTAACGAAATAATGCATAAATTTATTTCGTACATTTTCTGTCACTCTTCCAGTGCGTCGAGTGGAGGATTGCTGTAGATTAGTTAGCGGTGCTGTATAAAGCGTCTCTTCAAACGTAGAACCATCTCTTTGCCTAACATAATTGTGAAGTACGCAAATAGCTTTCACAATATCTTCAGCGAAATTAATATTTACATCTAACGGTCGATGTAATATTCGCCATTTGTTGCACATGATACCAAATGTACATTCGATATACCGTCTTGCAAGAGTTAAACGATAATTAAAATTTTTTTTTTTCGTACGTGAGTAATTTTCCACCAAATGGTTTCATTAAATTTTCCATCAGAGCAAAAGCTTCATCACCCACTATTACATAGGGCACAATGGACCCACCTGTTATTGCCGTTGGTTCAAGAATGTTCAGTGTCTTCTCCATAAGCATTCTGTACAATGTA